AAAAAGATATTCCATGATATCAGAAAGCTCTCTGCTATGGCCTGGGAAAGCAGGAGAGGATGGTCCAAGTCTTTGGGCCCCTACTCCCACGTGGGAGACCTGGAGTTAGCTCCTGGCCCGGATCAATGCAGCTCCGGCCATTGCGGCCAATTGGGGAGTGGACTATCAGATGGAAGACCCCCCTCTCTCTCTTTCTCTCTCTCTCTCTCTGCCTCTCCTCTCTCTGTGTAACTCTTTTGAATAAATAAATAATAAATAAATCTTTTAAAAAAAACCTACTTTCAGCAATGGACAGATCAAGCAAACAGAATATCTGCAAGCAAACAGTAGAGTTAACACTATAGACCAAATGGACCAAACAGATAACTACAGAACTTTTCATCCTACAAATGCAGAATGCACATTCTTCTCACCAGTGCATGGAACCTTCTCTAGGGTAGACCACATGCTAGGCCATAAAGCAAGTCAAAGCAAATAAAAAAATCAAAATCATATCATGCATCTTCTCTGACTACAATGGAATGAAGCTGGAAATCAGCAACTCAGTAATCTCTAGAACATATGCAACACATGGAGACTGAACAATATGCTCCTGAATGAACAGTGGGTCACTGAAGAAATCAGAAAAGAAATTTAAAAATTTATGGAAATGAATAAAGATGAAAATACAACATAGCAAAACTTATGGGATATGGCAAAAGCAGTGTTAAGAGGAAAGTATATAGCAATTGGTGCCTATATCAAGAATTAGAAAGATACCAAATAAATGAGCTATCAATGCATCTCAATGATGTAGAAAAACAATAACCAAACTCAAAAACAGTACAAGAAAAGAAATAATGAAAATTAGAGAACAAAAAAATTGAAACCCAAAAATTCAAAAGATCAGAGAAAAGTGAAGCTGGCTTTTTGAAAAAATAAAACTGACATTGGCCCAACTAACCAAAAAAAAAAAAAATAAATAAAAGAGGAGACCTAAATCAATGAAATTGATATGAAAAAGGATATGGAATAGATACCACAGAAATAAAAACAATCATCAGAAACTACTATAAATAGCTGTATGCCAACAAAATGGGAAACCTACAGGAAAGAATAGACTCTTGGACACATACAACTTAACTATATTGCGCCATGAAGACATAGAAAACCTAAACAAAACAATAAGCAAAACAGAAATTGAATTAAGAATAACTACTCTCCCAGCAAAGAAAAGCCCAGAACCCAGTGGCATCACTGCTGAATTCTACCAGACATTTAAAGAAGTACTAACTCCAATTCTTCTAAAGCTATTCAAAAACAATTAAAAGGGACGGAATCCTCCTAAATTCTTTCTATGAAGCCAGCATCACCTTAAATCCTAAACCTGGAAAAGATACAACAGAGAAAGAGAACTACAGACCCGTTTCTCTGATGAATATAGATGCAAATTCCAATCAAATCCAACATCAGAAAGATCATTCACTTAGACCAAGAGGGATGGTTCAACATTCACAAATCAATGTGATACAGCACATTAACAAATTGAAGAACCAAAACCATATGATTATCTCCATAGATACATAGAGAGCATCTGATAAAGTTTAACACCCTTTCATGATGAAAACTCTAAGCAAATTGTATATAGAAGAAATATTCCTCAAGGCAATGTATGAAAAACCCAAGACCAGCTTCATAGTGAATGGGGGAAAGTTGGAAGCATTCCCACAGAGATCCAGAACCAGACAAGGATACCCACCCTCATTATTGCTATTCAATGTCACCCTGGAAGTTTCAGCCACAGTCATTAGGGAAGAAAAAGAAATCAAAGGGATACAAATTAAAAAGGGGGACGTCAAACTATCCCTGTTTAGAGATGACATGATTCTATATATAGGGGATCCAGAAGACTCCACTAAGAAACTACTGGAAATCATAGAAGAGTTTGGTAAAGTGGCAGGATATAAAATCAACACACAAAAATCAACAGCCTTTGTATACATAGACAATGCCATGGCTAAGAAAGAACTTCTAAGATCAATGAAAAAAAAAATCAAATGCCTTGGAATAAATTTAACAAAGGATGGCAAAGATCTCTACAATGAAAATTACAAAACATTAAAGAAACAGAAGCCACAAAAAAGAAAAAAAAAAAAAGGAAAAATCTTCCATGTTCATGGGTTGGAAGAATCAGTGTCATCACATTGTCCACACTAGCAAAAGCAGTTTACAGATTCAATGCAACCAACCAACATGCCAAGGACATTCTTCTCAGATACAAAAAAAAAATGCTAAAATTCATATAGAAACACAGGAAACCTCGAATAGCTAACGGAATCCTATACAACTAAAATAAAGCTGGAGGCATCACAATACCAGATTTCAAGACATACTACAGGGCAGTTAGAATCAAAACAAACTGGTACTGGCCAAAAACAGATGGATAGACTAATGGAATTGAATAGAAATGCCAGAAATCAACCCACGCATCCATAACCAACTTATCTTTGACAAAGGAGCTAAAATCAATCCCTGGAGCAAGGACAGTCTCTTCAACAAGTGGTGCTGGGACAACTGGATCTCCACAGGCAGAAGTATGAAGAAGGACTCTTACCTTCACCTTATACAAAGATCTGCTCAAAATGGATTAAAGATCTAAATCTACGATGCAATACCATCAAATTATTAGAGAACATTGGGGAAACCTTGAAAGACACTGGCATAGGCAAAGAGTTCTTAGAAAAAAACCCCAGAGGCACAGGTAAGCAAAGTCAAATTGACAGTGAAATCACATGAAATTAAGAAGCTTCTGTATTGCAAAAGACACACTCAAAGTGAAGATGAACCAACAGAATGGGAGAAATTACTTGCAAACTATGCAATTGATAAAGGATTAATAACAGAATATATAAAGAGATCAAGAAACTCAACAACAATACAAACAACCCAGTTAAGAAACAGGCAAAGGACTCAAACGGGACTTTTTCAAAAAGAGGAAATCCAAACGGCCCACAGACACATGAAAAAAATGCTCAGGATCACTAGCCATAAGGGAAATGCAAATCTAAACCACCCCTGTTAGAAGAGCTTTCATACAGAAATCAACAAATGCTGGCAAGAATGTGGGGAAAAAGGTACCCTAATCCACTATTGGTGGGAACGTAAACTTGTACAGTCACTGTGGAAGACAGTATGGAGATACCTCAGAAATCTGAATACAGACCTACCATATGACCCAGCCATCACACTCCTTAGAATTTACCCAAAACCAAATTAGCATATGAGAGAGTTATCTGTACCCTCATGTTTATTGCAGGTCCATTCACAATAGCTAAGATGTGGAATCAACTGAAGACTGGATCAAGAAATTATGGGATATGTACACTATGGAATACTACACAGCAGTAAAAAAAAATGAAATCCAGTCATTTGCCACAAAATGGATGAAACTGGAAAACGCATCACTTAGTGAAATACTCCGGTCCCAAATGCACATACCATGTTGTCTCTGATCTGTGATAATTAACAGAGCATCTAAAAGGTAATCTGAAATAGTGAAATTAATACTTTGAGATGAAATAACTTTGAACAGCCCATGTTGACATTTGAGGAACATTTTTCTTCTTCATACAATTTGTTGAACTCTTTACATAGTATAGAGTTCACCGTATGTGTTATAAAGTTAACTGCAAATAGATCTTAGTAAAAAAATAAGAATGGGACTAGGAGAGGGAGGAGGAAAAGAGCTGGAAGTATGGGTGGGAGGGCAGGTACAATGGGAAGAATCACTACATTCCTAAAATTGTATTTATGAAATGCGTAAGTTTGTATTCCTTAAGTGAAAGTTTTATGGGGAAAAAAACTCTAAATAAAAAACAGCAACTAAAAAAACAACGTGAATGTTACAAAATTACACTTAAAATAGTTAAAATTATAAATTTTATGCTGCATTTTTCCATATATACACATAAAACCACCACATAATTACTAGAATAACTAGAAAAAAATTATATAACAACAACTTTGGAAGAAGATGTGAAGAAATTAGGACCCTCAGAGCTTGCTGTGGAAAAATAAAGTGGTACAGATGCTTTATAAAACAGTGCTTAAGGCCGGTGCTGCAGCTCACTAGGCTAATCCTCCGCCTGCGGTGCTGGCACCCCGGGTTCTAGTCCCGGTTGGGGTACCGGATTCTGTCCCGCTGCTCCTCTTCCAGTGCAGCTCTCTGCTGTGGCCCGGGAGTGCAGTGGAGGATGGCCCAAGTCCTTGGGCCCTGCACCCGCATGGGAGACCAGGAGGAAACCCTGGCTCCTTGCTTCAGATCGGCGTAGCACACCAGCCATAGCGGCCATTTGAGGGTTAAACCAAAGGAAAGGAAGACCTTTCTCTCTGTCTCAAATACCAAAGTACTCAGCAATTCCACTCTGAGGTACATGCCCAAGAGAACTGAAAACAGATGTCAACACAAAAACTTGCTCATGAATGTTCATACAACAATCACGCATTATGGTCCCTAAGTGAAGACCATGTAAATTTATGCCAACTTATGAATGGATTACAACATGTGGTACACCCACACAATAGAATACCGAGGAATAAAAAATGTTTAGGAACAGCCAGATGCATGCTACCATACGGATGAACCTTGGAAACACCATGCTAAGTGAAAATCAATCACAGGGGCCAGGTGCTATGGTGTAGCGGGTAAAGCCACTGCCTGCAGCACTGGCATCCCATATGGGCACCGGTTCTAGTCCTGGCTGCTCCACTTCTGATCGAGCTCTCTGCTGTGGCCTGGGGAAGCAGAAGACAGCCAAACTCCTCTGGTCCCTGCACCTGTGTGGGAGACCCAGAAGAAGCTCCTGGCTTCAGATTGGCACAGCTCTAACCATTGCAGACAAATAGGGAGTGAACCAGCGGGTCGGAAGACCTCCCTCTCTCTCTCTCTGCCTCTCCTCCTTTCTGTGTAACTCTTTCAAGTAAATAACTAAAAAAAAAGAAAAAAAAAGATTTAAATACTAACCAAAGTCTCGTAAGGCTCATCGTCTTTCTTACTTTCACTGCCACTGCTTGAGATTTCGGAATTATCAGGAAACTCAAACACATCAGCAGGCTTGTGCTTCTGACCAGCTTTCTGGAAGTGAAGAAAACCAAAGTCACTGAACTGGTGCTAACGCACACCAGCAGCAAGCTGCTGGACTTAACAAGGACACTCTTGCTCCTGCTGCCGCCTAGAGAAGCTAGCCACTCTGCTGTTCTCCAGGAGACAGAGGCCTCTGGAATTCTAAGGCCGGCCTGGCAAACCTTTTCTACAAAGCACCAGAGAGCATTTCAGGCTTTGCAGGTCACAAGGTTTCCACTGCAGAGGGAAAGCCCGCAGGGACAGCGCAGCCAGGAATGCGCAGGGCCGGCTTCCCACACAATCTACTCAGAGATGCAGACCTCTGCATTTCACATCATCTTCATGGCACACAACATATCCTTTTTAGTTTATTTGGCTATTTAAAAATCATCCTTCGTTCCCAGGCTTGTGTATAAAGAGGTAGTAGGCTGGTTTTGCCCCCCAGGCCATAGCTTGCCTAGATCCCTAAAGAGAACGGTGGGCTGTCTCCCCAGAAACATGCCTGCCACCTGGACGTGCACAGCTCTGGGAGCACAGGGGCTGACAGTCCTGGCTGAAGGAGAGCCTGTGTACAGTTCAATATACGGGTAAGGCTCCGGAGGCTGGGGTTCCGGAGGATGCCAGAGGCAGAACAGAGAACAAACGCACTCGCAACTGCCCGACCTCCTGGACTTCATGTGAAATTCCAATGCCACGCGACAGGCCGTTGGAAAATAATTTGGAATTAGCTATCAAGAGCATTAAAGAAATGTACCTGCCATTACATACAGGTATTCTAAAACTCTCCTGAAGAAAAATAAAACTGTAACGTAGACAACATGGAACCTCATGAAATCACAAGCCATTGTCAGTAACACGGAGAAATGGCTGGGAGGAGTGGCAAAATTCAGAAAGCTGTACAATTTTTACACAGTGCTAATTATCTAGATGAAACAAATCTAGGCTTGGAAAAAAAAATGTTTCTAAAATGTTAACAAAGGTTCTTTTCTAACAGTGGAAAAAGTAAGAAAAGGAATAAACTTTTTTTTTTTACTACCCTAAAACAGAGCTTATCACGTGAAATACAGAAAACTCTAAGGTCCTCACCAAAGCTTACTTTTATAGTCAACTGTGAGAAAAATCACATTAAAAGCTAAAAAGAGAACTTACTTCTTTCATAGGATGTGTTCTTCTTAAAGTGTTCTTTGAACATACTGCACTGAAACAGGAAAAAATAAAAGTTAGGAAATATTTAAAGCAACCAGGGAAAATACCATAACCTGACTCTCTCCAAGTATTGTCTTCCCAAATTACACTGCTCAGTAGCTGTACTAATAGCGCGCATGCAATGGAACTAAAGTTATGACGAAGAAGCAGAACCCAGACCCTGTAAACATACGAGTCAAATTATATCACCAATACATATAAAGTGACCACCTCGGTCCCTCAAGATCATGGAAAACTTCTAATCCTGCTGTCACGCTGGCCCCTGCACCCGGATCTGTCAGGGAAGACTGACTCTCCGCAGAGCTGAGCCAAGGGGATGGATACCAACATGGATGAGACTCCTCACACCCATTCCATCTGCGCCTGGCCCGGGATCACACAGCTTAACAATCCTATGAAGTAGAGGGGGGCCGTGTGACAGCTCTGCACGGGCACAGAGCAACAGGCAGCCAGGCAGGAGAGGAGCCTGCAGGAAAACCCCATCGGTTCAAATCCACAGCCTACCTTCTTCCCACCCCATAACACTCTCCAGTGACCTTGGGCACACCGTAAACAGATTAAGGTGCGGATCTTCTAGAAGTGAAAAGGAAGCAAATGCAACAACAGTGACTAGACTAACAACTGAAAACACCAGTGGCAAGAAAAACCTATATTAACATCAGCACGTCAGTGAACAAGCACTGAGCACCCTCCACAGCTGAGGCACTGCATGGGGTATTAGAGATACTTTAGTAGAATCCAGTACTAGTTCCTGGCTTTAAAATACACCTTGCAGTTTTCAAAGACTCCTTTGTGGAGGGCAGTATCAGATTAGTGTGTCTGAACCAATATTCTTCAGGTACTTTATTTGACATGATTTCAAACTGTCTCCCCTGTACCCAGGTTCATCAGTTGCCTTCACCGTCTCTTTGCTTCCTCTGCCTGTGCAAGGTAAGCACTCCTAACTGAAGTACTTCATATGGCTTCCCTGAGAGGGCATGCACGTGCACAGTCATAGCGGATTTCCAAAATCTAGATATTTCACATTTGCAAAGTGATTATCCAACCTACAGTCCATGTCCAAATCTCATCAGCTCTCCAACACCCTTTAGGATTTTCACCCTAGCATTTTCTTAAAAGGGAAAATCAAGGGAACATAAAATGTAAGATTGCACTGGATAGGATATTTTCATAAACTTTCTGATTTGTTTCATGCGCACCTGCGTACTAACTGCGATGCAAAACATCATTGTGTGAATCACAGTTAAAAAAAAAAAAAAGAAAGAAAGCTGGAACACTGTTTAGAGCAGTGGTCTCACACCTGGCGCCACCCCCAGTTTCTGGCTCAGTAAGTCAAGGGTTGGGTGGAGAGTTCACAGTTCTCAAGTTCCCACGCTTTTTCTGAGTCTCCAACCTAAAATGGTACAACAAGTATTTGCTCAATGGCAATTTTATGATTCTGGTTATAATTCAGAGGTTCAGGAAAGCTAAATGACTTAGCAATGATGGTAACAGGGAAGTTTTAGTTCAATTAAATTTAGACGAGTTTATTTGGGCAAAGCAAAACCAGAAAGAATTAGGGAATGGAGCAGCCCCAGAAATATAAGCAAGTTCTGAGAACCACCAGCAACCTGAGCGATCACACATCATTAACTTAATTGGCTGCAGCCTACCCAATCAACCAATTGGTAACACCTTATCCAGTTCATTGCATACAGCCCAGTTAGTTAACTGCTACAGAGCTTTCCCCCAGCCACCTAAGCCCAGTGACCGGCTTGACGTTCAGTTCAAATCCATGGCCTCCCACAAAAATCCAGCAATGGCCACACAGTCAAGTAACGTTAGCAGGAAGCAGAAACCACATCAGTACGCGTCTTAACCTAAATTACTTCCAGCTGTCTCTTGCGTGTGCTCAAATCAAAAAATACGCCTTAAGCTGGAGTCCAGGTGAGGCTTCGTTCAAGATGGACGCTTGAGACAACCGTGTTTTCCCTGTGCATTTTTGAGGGAAGGGCTCAACACATGCCCTAAGTCTCCATCTCTAACAGGTTTTTAAAAACCTTTCGGCGCCTGGATGCCCTGTAGACAACGCTAGAGAGCCCGGGCGTCCACTCACGAATCTGTGAACGACGAATACGACGTACTTTCCAATGCATGCCCCTTTTGAGAAAAGTTGCTCCCCGCCCTGGAACACTCCCGAAGGGGCAGCTCGGTCCCCGGGCAGGGGTGAGGGCCAGCGTTACAGTCTGCGCTTTGGGGTACGAAGGCAGGACACGACCCGCAGGGCTGCAGCCCGTCACGTCTGGGGAACAGCAGGCACCAAGCGCCCGCGACCCTCAGCCACAGGAACCCCAAAGTCTCTCCCACCGCCCAGGCCAGGCGTCACGCCCTGACTCCTCCTAGGAAATCCGCACTGAGAGATGCAAACCGAGGCCCTGGGCGATCTGTCACTTCGACAAGGAAGCTCCACCAGCGCAGCCCCAAAGGCTCAAACCGCGTCAGTCGGAGCGGGACCCGCAGCTCTCACCCTGCAGGCCTCCGGGACCGCACCCGGCCCGGCGGAGCCATCTGGCTGCTCTCTGCTCCCGCGGCGCCCACGAAACTCCCGCCAAGCCCCGCGCCGTTAGAATGGCCAATCCGGGCCGAGCACGCGCCCCGCCTCCCCTCGGCCTGGGTCCCCCGCCCAGGGCCCGCGGCTCCCTTCCGGCCTTGGGCGTAAGTGAAAACGTGGTCCGGATCAACAACTGCAACGGAGCTGGAGGCCAGGCCTTCAAGCTGCCGCTGACGGGCCACCAGAAGGAATCCCACTTTTCCGGGTTTTCCCTCCCACCCTAGACCGGGGCCTGTTTCTCAAGGCTCCGACGGGGGCGGGGCTAGTGCTGAGACGTGGGCGGGCGCGCAGCAGGAAGGGGCGGATCCCAACCCGAGGCCCCAACTGTAGCTTCAGTTGAGCTGTGAAAGCAGATTGAGCCACGAGCCCCGGGGGCGTTAGAAGCAGCTGCCTGAGCCCTGTGTGCTCCTGCTTCCCTCCCCAGATCTCTGTAATGGGGCGGGTTCCTACCGGAGCCAATAGTCTGCGATTCTTTTCTTTCTGTTTAAAAAGGCGTTATAATACAAAAAGATGAATTCGCATATAAATAAGATGAATGTAAAAATATAAATCTATGAGAATGTAAACTATAAAATGAACTCAAAATGGATCAAAGATCTAAGTGGAAGAGCTCAAACCACAAAACTCTCAGAAAGGAGGACCCTGCTGTGGCGATAGCAGGTAAGGTCATCATCTGCAGTGCTGGCATCCCATATGGACACTGGTTCCTGTCCCGGCTGCCTCCAACTCCGATCCAGCCCTCTGCTCTGGCCTGGGAAAGCAGTAGGAGATGGTCTAAGTCCTTGTGCCCCTGCACCCGTGTGGGAGACCCGGAAGAAGTGCCTGACTTGAGATCAGCGCACCTCGGGCCCTTGCAGCCAATTGGGGGAGTAAACCAGCAGGTGGAGGATCTCACTTTCTCCTCTCTCTCTCTCTCTCTCTCTCTCTCTCTCTGCCTCTCCTCTCTGTAACTCTTTCAAATAAATAAATAAATCTTAAAAAAAAAAAAAACTCCTTAGAAGAAAAATAATGCAAAAGCTTCACAAAATTGGTAATGAAAAGATCCTGGAGATGAAAACTGGATGGCTGAGCAGCCACATGACTCTGCTTAGTGCCATAGAACTGTTCAATTAAAAACATTTAGCCATGAGCTTTTGGCAAAGAGGTTTAAGATGCCCGCTTAGGAGGCCTGGATCTCATTTTGGTGTGCTGGGTTCTGTTCCCACCTGGCTGATTCCAGCTTCCTGGTAATGCAGCTCCTAACACGAGCTTCCTTGTTCAAAGAAAACTCATTTATTTGAGAGAGTGAGAGGGACACACACCACACACACACACACAGGTCTTCCATCTGCTGGCTCACTCTCCAAATGGCTGCAAAGGCCGGGGCTGTCCCCAGGAGAAGCTGGGAGCCCAGAACTCCTTCTGGGTCTCCCATGGGGACTCAAAACAGCACCCATATGGGATACCAGTGTTGCGAGCAGCGGGTAACTGACAGCACAGTGCCTGCCGTTCCCAGCTGCCTTGTACTGTGCACTCTGGGAGGCAGTGGTGATGGTTTCAGTACTTTGGTCTCTGCCACCCACAGGGAGACCCAGATTGAATTCCCTGCTCTAGCTTCTTTGCCTGGCTCAGCCCTGGCTGTTTGTGGGCATTTGGGGGTGAGCAAGTGAATGAGAGAGCTATCTCTGGTCTTTCTCTCCCTCCCTTTCAAATGAACGAAATAAGTAATTTTAAATGGTTAAAATGCTACATTTTGTATGAATATTTCACTACAAAATGCAACATGTGACATGCATACACAAGTATAAAACATATATAATGTAAAGAGTAGGGTGAGCGTGCCTACAACCACCACCGAGTTAGCGTACATAACTGGGATGCTGGTCTATTAGTCCTCTGAAGAACAGACACTCTTAGGAGTTTATGTTGATCACTCCTATGCTGTTCTACCGATACAACCCTGGATAATGTACCAATTATCGTATGTATCTAAATGACTTTTGTAGGTATTGGGAGTTCTATTTCTTACGTGGAGCTATGCTTTTTATATTTTTTATTTCATTTTATTGACAGGCAATTAGACAGTGAGAGAGAGGAGACAAAGGTTTTCCTTCCGTTGGTTCACCCCCAAAATGGCCGCTATGGCCGGCGCACTGAGCCGATCCAAAGCCAGGAGCCAGGTGCTTCCTCCTGGTCTCCCACACTGGTGCAGGGGCCCAAGCACTTGGGCCATCCTCCACTGCACTCCCGGGCCACAGCAGAGTGCTGGACTGGAAGAGGAGCAACCAGCACTAGAACCTGGTGCCCATATGGGATGCTGGTACTGCAAGGCAGAGGATTAACCAAGTGAGCCATGGTGCCAGCCCCCAGAGCTATGATTTTTAGATTTACTCACATTGTATCCACATCCATATGTAGCTGAAGTTCATTAATTTTCATTGCCTTCTAAAATGCATTCAGTAACTATACCACAGTTAATCTTTACTTCTTGTGTACACATACATCAGTTGTTTTCAGTCTTGGTATCATCAACAAGGTAGTCCTGAACATTCTTGTGCATGTGTGCATGCATGTCTCTTTGAAGAAGCCTGGATCTTCTTCTGGGTCTCCCCAGTGGGTGCACTTGAGCCGTCGTCCACTGCATTCTCAGGAACATTAGCAGAGAGCTGGGTAGGAAGTGGAGCAGCCGGGTCTGGAACTGGCACCCAAATGAGATGTTAACATCACAGGTGGGGGCTTTACCAGCTACACCATACTGCTGCCCCTCCCCCCCATTGCATTTTGATTTTCCTGTCCCTTAAGGTGTCATCTCTTCATCGTTTACAGCTCATTCCATTTCCTCTTCCATGATGCGCTTGTGCAGGCTCCTGGGCAGCAGCCATGAAAGGGTAATGACCCTTAGGGACTGCAGGTAATTTCCCCACCAACAGGAAGAACAGGGTTCTTGGAGGGGACTGGGTTGGAAGCTCCAAATTCCAGGCAAGGGGGGATAATGAAACTTCTGTGCTTGCAGGCCTGAAAAATGAAACTTCCCAGCTATGAAGACAGGAAGAGTTTCAGCATGCTGGATGGAAATAAGACAAGCTCCCCCCAAGCAGGTTTCAGAATGAAAAGGAGTTCATAGGCTTGTCACCGGAAAGCCCTGGGCAGGCTAGGGCATCAAGCTCAGCTTCCCCCCAGGGTCCGGGAGGCATCAGCGCTTTGGATCCGTTTTCTTCTTCTCCTGGTTCGTCAACTCTTCATCAGACCCCAACCCCCGTGTGCCTGTGCCACTATGGAAGCTGTGACTCTCCCTCCCTCCTCCCCTGGCCCAGGCTCAGGGATCCGTCACTCTATGCTCTACTTCTATGATGTCAGCCCTTCTGTGATCCCCACACAGGGGAGATGGCCCAGCGTTTGTCTTTCTGTGAGAGCCACCCACCCGTCACCTCCATCACCTGCCCAGGGTGCACACAGGGACCAAACATCACACGGGACCAAAGCCATGCACACATGGTGAATTTTATTCATGAGAAGCATGTGCAAATGCTCAAGAAAAGTTCAGTCAGCTCAGCGGATAGCTCCTGGAGACGGGGGCGGGGCGAGGCTACTTGGGGACCACTCTGCAGCAGCTGCCAGGGCTGCTCACTTGGGATGGCAGGATGCAGCACGCCCTCAGCAGGAACCGGAGGATCCTCCTGCCGACCCCGCGACGGCCCTGCCTCTTGCCCTGGGCGCTGGCCTTGGTGTCTGTGGTGTCAGCATCCTTGGGCTCACGGGCTGTGCGGCGGCGGCTTTCTGGCTCTGCAAGGTCCACGTGGCTCCCGGCACTGGGGCTGGAGGGCGACGCTTCGGAGGCTGGCTCAGGGGCGGCGCTGGGAACAGGGCTCCACTCTTGCTGTGGCTGGCCTGGTAGGAGAGAGTCAAGTGTGGGGTCACCTTGGGGGCCTTGGGCTCAGCTCCTGGAGGCCCCGAGGCAGGGGGGAGGGTAAGACTCACTGGAGGCCTGGGAGGAGTTGGGGGCGGCGCTGGGAGCAGGGCTCCTCTCCTGCTGTGGCTGGCCTGGTGGAGAGAGTCAAGAGTGGGGTCACCTCGGGGGCCTTGGGCTCAGCTCCTGGAGGCCCCGAGGCAGGGGGGAGGGCCAGACTCACTGGAGGCCTGGGAGGAGTTGGGGGTGGTGCTGGGAGCAGGGCTCCTCTCCTGCTGTGGCTGGCCTGGTAGGAGAGTCAAGAGTGGGGTCACCTCAGGGGCCTTGGGCTCAGCTCCTGGAGGCCCCGAGGCAGGGGAGAGGGCAAGACTCTCTGGAGGCCTCGGAGGAGTCGCTTTGTGCGGAGGAAATATTGACAGACATGCTTTCAGAGGACACTGATACCACAGACAAGCGGTCCTTCTCTGTGGGGTGGCGCTCCCCGCCCTGTGAGGACTCGGGCAGGGATGCAGGGCCCTGGGGCTAAGGGCCTGGCGTCCCCTCAGTCCCCGTGCCTGGCAGCAGGCCGAGGCCCGCCAGGTACTCCTTGGCCTCTGAGTCGCGGGGAAGCCCAGGGGCTGCAGCAGGGTGACAGCGGCCTCCTTCTCCTCCTGGGTGGCTTCTCGGCCGGAATCGAACCACCAGTGTGCCCTGGCATCCTCTGCACTGGGCCTCCCCGAGGCGTGGACAGTGAGCAGCCAAGCCAGTAGCTCCCGAAGGGCCGGGCTGACGGCACGCGGCAGCACATAGCACACAGCACCGTGTCCTGCAGCTCCTCCGTGTCCTTGCCGCGGCAGCGTGGCCGCCAGCATGGCAAACAGCACCACTCCCAGGCTCCACACATCAGCCTTAAAAGCGTCATAGGCCTCCCCGAAAACCTCTGGTGCGCAGTACTCGGGGGTCCCCCAGAAGCCCCTTACCAGTGTGCCCTGCTCCAGCCGCAGGCTCAGGCCGAAGTCCGCCAGCTTGATGGTCATGTGCTCGTCCAGCAGCAGGTTGTTGCCCAGCTTGAGGTCCCGGTGCACCACGCGCTGGGCATGGCAGTAGCTCACGGCGGCCAGCGCCTGGCCGAACAGGGTCCTGGCCTCGGCCTCGGCCAGGCCGCCCTGCTCAAACACGTAGCTCTGGAGCGAGCCCTTGGTCGCCAGCTCCATGACCAGGAACCGGTGCGTCCTCGTGTGCCGCTCCTCCAGCAGCCGCACGATGTTGTCGTGCAGGCTCCTCAGGATGGCTGCCTCCCCCTGCGCGGACAGCGGGCTGCTGGGAGAGCAGTCTCGCAGGAGGATCTTCACTGCCACGTACTTGCCCGACGCCAGGTGCCGGGCCAGCTTCACCAGGCCAAAGCCGCCCCGGCCGATTACGTCCACAAAACGGATCCCATCCAGAGGAGGATGGAAGTCCAAGGGGTCTTCCATGATGCCGGTCACCTAACTACGCTCTCTCGACTCCCTAAATCACTCGACCACACTAGCTAATCACCGATCCTCACTGCACTGCCTACAACACAAAGGGACCACGGGGGACTGACTACCCAGCTGACTAAGACACAGCACCAGCTACTCTCACTACTCTAGCGGCGATGCCGCAAGCCTATCTCAATAATGCAGAAAAAACAAAGAGGAAAAGCCACTAAATCCTCGAACGCTGATACTTCTGAGTGTGCTAGCTGACTAGAGTGGGGGAAGCAAAAATAAAGAAAACTGCAAAAAAAGACCAAATGGGCAAAACAACAACGAGGAGGAAAACAACAAACTAAACAAAATGGAAAAAAGCAAAAACCAAATAGACCCAGAAACAAACAACCAAGAAAAAGCACAAGCAACACCAATGAGCGCAAAGGCTGGTTAGATGGGTCCTAGTTACACAGATCACAAAAGAGTGCTCTCTGGGTAAGGCGGACAAAAATCTAGGCCCCCGTAGCAGCTATATATACTTTTTGGGGGTTCACCTCACATAATGGCGCCTTGTGAGAGCAGAGCAAGAAATGGACCAGTCACAGCCCAGCCAGGGACTGTGTAATATGACTTTCATAACAGTGGTGACTTATGAAGTCAGAGCAAGAAATTGACCAATGGGAGCTGTAGTTCATCCACAGTGGTTTTTCTCGATAATCTTCCAATAAAATTAAAACGATACCCAAAGAGTTTTTGGCCTAGGTTGGTGATAGGGCTTGATACTTAATTTTTGAGAAACTCCAACCTATAGATTGCTTGGGTGGCCTTCTCATTACTAGTTTAAATATGATGATACGTTGCATCTTTTGAAGACCTCCTAGTGTCTCCACTTAGTATAGCCCCTCCTTTGTCTTTACTCTCTGAGTGATGGGTCTCAGAATGATGGAACAACATCTCTGGCCTCGGTAAACTCAACAAGTGTTCTGCTGCCCAAGACACCGCCAGGTACACTGTTCGCACCTCCAGAGCTGAGAGGAAGGTGGCTCTGTCACCCTTTCCCCCTAAGTCATCGTCAGATTTCTTGGCAGAAACCCTGGAAGCCCAGAAGGTAGTGGGGTCTGTGCAGTCCAAACATGGAAGGCCCAATCAGAGGCAGCCGAGAAAGCTACATCCTCTGAGACTGTCCTCCACCCGGTAGGGAGGAATCGAGGCACTGCCAGGCACTTGGGGTTTTTGGGCTCCTGTAACAACAACCACCAAAACTCCTGGCTCCTGGCTTCAGCCTGGCCAAGGCCTGGAGGTCATTTATGGGCTGTATCAGAGGATGGAGGAGCTCCCTAGCTCCCTCTCCCTAGCTCCCTCCCTCCCTCTCTCTCTCTCTCTCTCTCACTAGCACTCTCTCTTTCCCCTCTTCACTCTCACACACATAGAATGCAACTTAGGAAAAAAGGAGAAACTCCCTGCTTCAACTCCTCAGGTCCTGCACAGAACTAGGACGGGACGATGGCCGCATCACAGCCTCACATCTGTCTCCTTGGGACAGCTTCGTGCTGAGCCCTCAGGAGCAGTGTTTCTCCCAAGGAAGCGACAAACTCATCTGTCGCTCCCCGTCTTCATGGGGGAACGACACTAAACCCTGCCTAGGCTTCATATCCGAGTCACGGCACCATTATGTCGCTCCCCGTCTTCGTGGAGGAACGACACAGGACCCTGCGCTGTTCTTTCGTCTGCTCGGCCCTCCCCGGGTTTGCTGCTGGTTCTTCCCGGGGTGGCTACCGTCCCTTCCACCTCCGTGGAAGGGCGGTTCCCCCTGCCACATTCCCCACTTCCGCGGGGGCGGCACACCGCCGGCCGGCTCTCTCGGGGGCTGCACAGGTGTTCCCCTTAGATGTTCCCCTTAGATGTTCCTGGTGCATGCCGTCTCTCTCCTCCTTTATAGTCCTCTTCCACCAATCCCAACTCTGCTACCCACACGCCGAGTACGCTGCTCTCCTCCAATCAGGAGCAAGTCCTACAGTTTATTGGCTGAACTGGAGGCAGCTGTGTAGAAGCTGTTTTCTTCTCTCCCAGCGCCATATTGTGGGAGAGCAGATGCATAGAATAAGTCTTAATTCCAGTAACTTAGTCTAGTCCGAGTTGCTCCCCACACTCATCTCAGGTAGGAAGTGAGCCCGGTAACCCTTGCCCCCACATAGCAAGTGGATCTGTGTCTCCTGCAGTTCTTGAGGAGCCCCCAGGGCCCAGCACAGCCATGGGCCCCAGGAACACATGATGGTCCCTCTGCACCGACTGCCCACACCCTCTTGGGAGAGGAACCCCTCCCTGGGGAGATGACCCCCTCCTCCAGGATGTCCAGGGACACTGCACAATGCGATTTCTCCATGATTTCCTGCAGTGCTGGTCACCTCCTCAGGGCTGAGAGGAAAGAACCAGCACCCCAGGAATTCTCACTACAGTTTTGCTACAAAAGTCAAAAAAATTAAATTATGAAGACGTTGGGGACTGTTTTCCATTAAGCACAGGTAAAAACTCATCTTTGTAATAAGGTTGGAGTTTTTGAAGGCAGATCAAATAAAGATGAAACTCAGGATACTACCAAAACATCACCAGATATAGAATTCAAAATTTATTTAGGTGCAAAAACTTTTGAAAACCTGTGCATAGTTTGTCCTTAACATACTTTGCCCGTGAATGTTTTGTATCCCCTCTCCTATGCGTGAATTTCAAAAACTGCAACAAATAAGCTCATCCTTTATTTCCATTTTCCATGAGGTTTTCCAAGTCCCTTCAAGTAACCCAGTTCGAGGAAAAACAGAGTTCCCATCCGGACTGCAAAACAGCGTCGGCAAGGACGAGAGACACACCACAGCTCTCCTTCTCATCACTCCTCCCCAGTGCTGGTGGGAGCCTTGCAGACCCATGTGGTTTTAGAAAATTCATCTCCCCCAAGGTAAGTGATGGCCCTGAGGACTCTGTGTCCCCCAGCTCTGCTCAGCAGTAGCCTGAACATGCTGTGGAAAGTCCTATCTTGTCCACGCTGGACTAAAATGAG